CTCCCATATGTTTGTATCGGCGTCGAAGACGCTTAATCATCCACGTGGCATGTCCACCATTCCTCACGTTGTCCATGTTCGGACATGTCAAGTGACGTCACAATCATATTGAGCGGGTTTTTGCTCCCATATGTTTGTATCGGTGTCGAAGATGCTTAATCATCCACGTGGCATGTCAACCATTACCTGTACTCACGTTGTACATGTTCGGACATGTCAAGTGACGTCACAATCATATTGAGCGGGGTTTGCTCCCATATGTTTGTATCGGCGTCGAAGACGCTTAATCATCCACGTGGCATGTCCACCATTACTCACGTTGTACATGTTCGGACATGTCAAGTGACGTCACAATCATTTTGAGCGGGTTTTTGCTCCCATATGTTTGAATCGGTGTCGAAGACGCTTAATCAACCACGTGGCGTGTCCACCATTACTCACGTTGTACATGTTCGGACATGTCGTGTGACGTCACAATCATATTGAGCGGGTTTTGACCCCATATGTATCGGTATCGAAGACGCTTAATCATCCACGTGGCATGTCAACCATTAACTGTACTCACGTTGTACATGTTTGGACATGTCAAGTGACGTCACTATCATATTGAGCGGGGTTTTGCTCCAATATGTTTGTATCGGCGTCGAAGACGCTTAATCATCCACGTGGCATGTCCACAATTACTCACGTTGTACATGTTCGGACATGTCAAGTGACGTCACAATCATATTGAGCGGGTTTTGCTCCCATATGTTTGTATCGGCGTCGAAGACGCTTAATCATCCACGTGGCATGTCATGTCCACCATTACTCACGTTGTACATGTTCGGACATGTCAAGTGACGTCACAATCATATTGAGCGGGGTTTGCTCCCATATGTTTGTATCGGTATCGAAGACGCTTAATCATCCACGTGGCATGTCCACCATTACTCACGTTGTACATGTTCGGACATGTCGTGTGACGTCACCGCCACACTTCCATTTGTCTACTCTTTGACGACCGATTTCATTTATCCCTTGAAACAGCGTCCATTAATCTTCCTTACTTTTCACCGTTACTCAATTACCCCGATTTAAAAGAAGCATTTATTTCAAAGGTAACCTTTAAAACCTAACCTACAGAAACCCCACAACATAACTATTGTGATAATTTAATAATAGTAGGCTATGCCTAACACTTAAATATAAAATTAACATATAACAAATTCAATAGGCTGTAGTGTTTAGCTCAATTTATTTCCACTTAAGGTTTATTTAAGTGTTTTATTATATAAAAAATATGTATTAAATTTGTAAACCATATACTGTAAATATAAAAGCCTGATTTAAATAGTTTAACCTGTTGAATGTTGTTTGGTGTTAGCTTAACATGTTAGTGTAATTGTATACGATCAAACTATATACAACTATAGCTTTTCTATATTTTTGTAGATCGCATCTATAGTATACAATTTTAATAATTCAAAGCCCCTGTTGCTATAATACAGAAGAATTGAAGTACAATCAAGCGTTTAATACATGTCTTCAAAAGTGTGTCCGTATGTCTGCCTAGTCTACAAACGAGGATAAATAGGCAAAACCAACAATTTAAAAATGATAATACGTTAACGTAACACAGCCTATTCATGGTTTACCTCATTCAGTGGTTAGAGCGTGGGACTTCAGTCCCTATAAGGTCCCAGGTTCAAATCCAGCCAAATCACAAACAGATTTTATTAGTGATAATGCCGCAACCCCTAGGTCTAGCCTGAAGTAATTTGAAAAACAATTCCGGGCTCGTGCCCAGCGTCCTGGGACAAAAAATACATGATCTACCTAAAATAAGAAAGGTTCATCCTGAAAGCACTTAACTTCACAGAAATAATTCCTCTGACAATGAATGACAAAGCCAATATCCATTTACGAAATGTACGGGCCATTGTGAACGTAGCTGCTATTGATCTATCCCTATAGTTTGTACGATACTATAGGATCAAATGGCTTGCATTGTGCTCTGTATAAAGAAAAATAAATACATTGTATGTTTTTGTGTAAGTATATAAAAAATATAATGAAAATTGTTGAGATCAAGAAAATAATCACTTATATAACTCTGTGTACGTGAATAAAAAATATCTACACAAATTAATCACCATAGATAGTTAATCAATGAAAAATCCATTGCTAGGTTAGGCATATTTACAATTGCCAACACAAATGGTTAGCGTCTTGAACCTCAACACAAAAGGAGCGCTTCATTTCTGGTATGCTCTTTGCTTTTAAAGCTTTCGGATAGCTTTCCCAACAAAGCTTTTCTGAGAATCACTAAATAAATCTTACAGCAGTATTAGTTTATTTTGATCTATTTCAATGTTCCGGTCAATGGTTAAAGAGATCAAAGTATGATATTTATTTTCTTCATGCGGCCTATGACTCAGTATGCGGTTGAATATTAGAACAATATTTTATCCACGCCTCTTTGGAAATTCTATTGACTGAAGTAGACTTCCCATCTATATGGACCACCTGTAGCCAATTTTTTATTAAAAAAGAATGTAGTTGTGTGAGCCAGTCACAGAATGCGCTAGTATCTAAAATTCTATTTCATACCTTATTTTTTGTTGCTGACCAGGTTGATGGGTCGTAACAGTTGCCAAAACTCATCATAAGTCATTCCCTAAGTTTGACTTGATTAAAAAGATTGTGTATTCAGCAGAATTTAGTAATTTAGATCAGCACAATCTGTAGGTGGCTACACCAACTACAACGATTTTGATAAAAAAGCTGGCTACAAATTTAACATGGGAATAATTGATAATGTGAACTGTTTGTAGTTGACATTAGTGTTCCGGTAGGATATATTTTAGGGTCTGACTTAGGGGAGGTACAAATGAGGCATTTAGTTCAAAATTCCTCCATGAACAGCGCTGTAGTAGAGAGTACTTTGGCAATGAAGGTTTACTAGTCGCAAAAATAGTTCTGTTCATAAAATAAAATTATAAATGCCTCAAATTCAATTTTACAATTTTTTAATTATAAAATTAAACTATCATAACCTAACCGAACTAACCAAACTTGCTGATAAAGAAATAATATAACAAAAGTTTAGTAATCGGAAAAATAATTCTTTTTATTAAATAAAACTAGAAATTGTTTAATTAAAATTTTATAATGAGTTAATAATAAAATTAAACTGTAATAACCAAACCAAACCAACCAAACTTGCTGATAATAAAAAAATCTTGGACAAAAAGTTAATGCTACTAGCGGGATTCGAACCCGGGACCAATAGTATATCAGCCCGGTACGCTAACCAATAGGCCACCGAGGCCGCTGGCTGTTGAATGTTTTGTTACGGTAATGGCGTTCTCTCAGCTAATAAGAAGCCCTCAGCTGTCATCGTAGCCTCTTCTATACCTCCCCTGAGTAAATACCTATATTTTAACACTTCACGTAATACTGATCATATTAATATTTTATAGTCAGCTGACATGTAAATAAAAGTATAAACAGCATAAAAGTAGAAACATATAACCATGCCATATAAACTAAATGTACCTAACATATCATATCTTTTTCAATGCATACATAGTATGTATAGTCAATGTGTCGATGAGGGTGTGTGAGCGTCAGTAAATATACTAAAATTGATTTTACTTTTTTATGTCATAGTAATTTTTTAGATATGAACTCATGATAAAACCGTTGTGCTTTACCCGGTTGAAAATAGTTTCTTATTACTCCGAGTCATTCTAATTATATCCTCTAATCAAAAAAGGCCAAAACTCCACAGGAGGCAGAGGAGTTTGAATCAAACCGAGCAACGAGTGTCTACCAGCTTTTGATCATGTCATTGTTCAACTTGATCAAAGAAGCAGTGGCGGTCTCTTAGAATATTGACTTTTCCAATTAAACCGTTCTAGAGTGTCTTACCAAAGTAATTGAAAGTTAATTTGTATTAGGAGGAATGAAAACAAATGACATAAATACAATAATCACAAAATACAATTAATAAAACACGATAAAATACAATAAATTGGTGTCGTTTTAGTCATAAATTACCAAAACTCCCATTGATGGATTGTTTCAATACAAAATAACATTATTGTTGGGCCCCCACTATAACAACAGGCGAATAAGAAATCATTTTACTTTTAATACGATCTATACATCTCCATTTAATTAAAGTTTTCCTTTATTCGTCTTTAAAAACTCTACCCATCCCATATTTTTCTCACTCCTTTGTTTAAAAATTGTATAGTCTGCACTAATATACTTTTGAAATAAATATATAAATCACAAAAAACTCTTCTTTATATGTATGTGTTTTTTATAAACGGCGCTAAACCGAACTTTTTCTAAATCCATCCTGCTAGGGGTTACTCGGAAGTAAAAAATATTCAATGTGAAACATGTTTGCCATTAAAGTGACGCAGACATTAGTGAGTTTCCAAAAGCAATTAGGTTGGATGAAGAAGTCAAGTTCTTCAGCGGACAACAAAGTTAGACTGAGTTAACACCGACAGTTCAAACCGTTTCCTCTTTCCGTCAGAACTTTGAAACTTTCCATGAATCTCAACCGACACTATCGAGCAAAACATTGCCTCAAGCTGCGCAGAATGTTGACGAACTCTTTAATTCCTCTTGTACATAAATAGCCATTAGATATTTTATGAGTAAAATATTGGTTAGTAATATATTTACTACTATATTTACTAACCAATTGGTTATATTCTTCATCCTTATGGACCAGCTATACCATTTAGTGATAAGCACATTAAAACCGGGACCTCGGAGGTCGAAGCCACTCTACCTCTAGGCTTGCTCTTCAAAAGGTTTTACACCAACGTTGTCATGTTAAGCTACCTTCTTTCCTGAGGATCAGATTCCAGATCCCAAATCCTTTATGAGTTGCATTTTACTGATCGTGAAATGTCTGCAAACATCCTTCAAATACATACCAATAAAAGTTTCAAGGTTTTCTAAACGATTTCTAAAACATGTTGTTTCTGTTGCAGTTGGTGTCCAGCAACACCAACCAGCGCAACTGGCGCGGTATCCTGATCGCGCTGCTGGTGATCATGATGGTGCTGGCGCTGATAGTCACCTCTGTAGTGCTGCTGACGCCGCCTGATGAGGGTCCCAGAGTGAAGGGGACAAGACTCAAGCTGCAGGACATTCTGTCACACGACCTAACCGCGCTACGCCACAACGGCTCCTGGATATCAGGTAGGTCCTGAAGTCTCCAATACTAGTGTCATTTCCTAATTGACAACAGAAAATACTTTTACATAGTGTTTGTTTGAGGAGTTTGGACCGTTCTCCTAAAAGTGAAAGTGGTCTAAAATTTCTCAACTAGGGATATCAGGTGGGTTCTTTTTCAGTTTTAACGCCAGTTACAGTTTGTCATTAATAAAATTATGTTTAACCCTGCACTGCCAAGACACAAAAACAAGAAAAAATAGAAAAGAAAAACAACAAAACTCAAACTGAAGTTCACTGACTCCTGTGGTGTTCAATAAGCGACTGGCTGATTTTTTTGGTCGACCGTGTGCGCGGATAGACAACAACCCGTATGTTTAAGTGGTTTAAATATCTTCAAATTGTTGTGATTTTGCTGACGGTACAATCGGTCTCGCTAACCATCCTAAAGCCCAAGACTCTATAACCACTAGACTAAAATTATTTTAAAATCTCTAATACAAAATTAGCAATTAAAATACTATATAAAACTAGAAAAACATTGGAAAATAAACCTAACCTAAGGTTTTTGTCTGTATACCACAGTACTTTAAATAAAACCTGGTATATGTCTTTGAGCTTCAATTTCGGTGGTTTTAGATGGCCTATTTATTTTATAATTGTCTAGTTAATTATAAAAAAGACTAGCTGACCCGGCGAACTTCGTATCGCCTAAGTTATAGGTTTCCCCTAAGACAGACCGATGGAAAGAAAGTACCGTTACGTTTAATTTTCAAGATGATCTCGTTCGCATCGCTCAATCACGTCCTGGTTGAAGTTCGTTCGCTACGCTCACTCACCTTTGGGTTGGACCTCGTTCGCTACGCTCATTCACCTTTAGGTTGGAGCTCGTTCGCTGCGCTCACTTGCCTTCAGGTTAGCTCGTTCGCTACGCTAACTTGCCTCCAGGTTGAAGTTCGTTCGCTACGCTCACTCACCTTTGGGTTGGAGCTCGTTCGCTACGCTCACTCACCTTTAGGTTGGAGCTCGTTCGCTGCGCTCACTTGCCTTCAGGTTAGCTCGTTCGCTACGCTAACTCGCCTCCAGGTGCTACGCTCACTCACCTTTTGGTTGCAAATTAGCTGTTGTCATAAATGTAAAAGAAATAATAGTGCTGCACCCTGTTGGTAATCCTTGTAAATTTAATGCTATTGAACATCATAGAACAGAACCAACTTGTTTAATTGAAACAGCTGTTAAGATTCATTAATTCCATTTCTCATAAGGTTAACATGGGAAACTCCAGAGCCACTGGGGCGGAGCCCTTTAAGAATTTCGAAACGGGAAATAGTTTACGTCCGATTCGCATACCTACAGAATTTACACACCAAATTTCATAACGATCGGTGAAGTCGTTCCGGAGGAGTTTGCAGACAAACACTGTGACACGAGAATTTTATATATTAGATTTACAAGTTGCCATCCTGAATATTATGAAATAATTATTGTGGTGGAAGATTTTTATTTCCTTTTATATGTTGATTGAGTGGAAAACCAATAATGACTGAGGTATTACACAATTCTCTCTTAACCTTTAACCATTCTTTAAGTTTTATAATACTCATACTCTAACTCAAACTATTTTTTCAGGAGAAGAGCTGATATTTAGCGATGACTCGGGGGGAATCAGCATCTTCAACGCCGCCAACCTTACTACCAGAGTCCTCATGACCAACCAGACCTTCGTGAGTATTACACAAACTAACTTACTCCGTAGCCTCTCTCATACTCTCTAAATATTACAATTTCTCATAATACCCTATTGTTAAAAAATAAAATAAATTCTATCTAAAAACAATTAATAAACAGTTTAAGAACCATTCGGTTAGAATTAAATCTTTATACTTTGTAAATTAAATGTCATTTGCCACAAATTCATTGCAAGATTACATAACATTTGAAACTTATTTATTCCATACAAGTAATTTGGGGTCAGTTCTTATTATAAGTAACGTCGAATGAGAAACCACATTTCTTGTATTTATGAGGTGTACATAGCTCAACAGTTCCTTGACAGCAAGGGTCTTCTTTCTTCTTGTGGTGTTTCCCTTTGAACTTTGTAGCCTCTTTGTCTGCTGAAGTCGTTTTATCTTTCAACGAAGATTTACTAAGTATACATATTCCTTTCTTTTTCCTTTCGGCTGTTGATTTTCCATTTTTCTCAACAAAGCCGCTGTGGTCTGACCCTAAGCACGCCTTGCAACAGGCTGATCTACAACATATAGCTTCGCAAAGGCACCTGCAGCACGGAGACAATTCGCATATTGTTTTGCATATTCCTTTCTTAAACATGGCTGGTTTTCTGCCATGGCAAGTGCACTCTCTTTTCTCTCCTGCCTTGTGTTTTCTCATCGTACCGTGTTTCGGACACTTCGGGTCTGTCTTGTGAGCGTCACTGAACCTCTGCAATGAACACCCGACATAATGCCCGTGATCAGGACAGTATGGATCGTGCTTCCCTTTTGGGCAAGAGCATATTCCGGGCATTTTAGATCTTTTCTTAGGACTAATTTTGTAAATTCCGTGTTCTCTACAGTAAGGGTCAAGCGCACTCGTGCTTGGACAAGTACACAAGTTCCCATAAGACCCAGGTATTTTTCTACCAGTTTTGTAGTACTCTCCATGATCAGGGCAGAAAGGATCTTTTACATCGCTTGCTGGACATGTACAGTTCTCCCCATAGTCTTCCGGTGCCTTTCGAGACGCTCCTGATCTTTTTCCATGTATGGGACACCAGGGGTCACAAGTGCACACAAGTCCGTCATATCTCTTTGGCCTCTTAGAACCATCGCCGCAGTAATTGCCGTGTTCAGGACAGTATGGATCTAAATTCCCTTCTGGACAAGTACAAGGGTCTCCAGTATGCCCAGGGTGGTGTTTCCGCTTGTACCTCCCATGTTGTGGACAGTACGGATCGCGTTCCTTTGACGAAGGACAGGAGCAGGGCTTATCATTGAAGGAAACACGTTTTGTTCCGTTAGTTTTATGACTTCCGTGTTCAGGACAATAAGGATCCATCACACCTTTAGATGGACAAGTACACGGCCCTTCATCATCTGCAGCTAAAAACGAAGGTCTCTCAGTCTTTGGCTCTTCTTCCCTCCCTTCTCTTTTAGCCGTCTCTCTGGCCTCTTCGTATCCATGCACCGGACACTCGGGGTCAGGATGGCGTTCGTCAGGACACATGCACTCTCCGTGAATAGGACATCTTGGACTTATACAGCGACACTCTCCATGTTTCGGACAAGTAGGTTCGTAGACTCCTTTGCAAAGACATTTTCCGTGCTCTGGACAAGTAACTTCTGGCTTCCTCGTGTTTTTACACCTACATTTCCCGTGTTTGACACACCTCGTGTGATACTTGTTCAAGTCTTTACAAGCGCATCTCCCGTGTTCAGGACATTTAGGATGTCTTCCTCTCGCCGGGCAGATGCACTTGCCGTGCCACGGACATCGCTGGTTTGGCCTCTTCACTCCGGTACACATACATCTACCGTGCCGAGGACAGTCTGGGTCTGACTTGTCGAAGTCTCCACATCCACATCTACCGTGTTTGCTGCACTTAGGGCTTGGTTTGCCATTGCTGCAACAGCATTTTCCATGCTCGGGACAGTTGTGAGCAGGATGTTTTTCTCCGCAAGTGCATTTACCGTGTTTGACACAATCACGGTCGTACTTGTCCAACGCTTTACACAGACACTTGCCATGTTCGGGACAGAACTTGTCCTGTTTGTCCTGTGTACAGATGCACTCCCCGTGATGTGGACATCTCCGGTCAATTTTATTGATGCACATACACTTACCATGCTTCGGACAGTCTAGGTCGGATTTGTCCTCTTCCCTGCAGATACACCGAGGCCTCCGAGCCACTGCTCTCTCACCGTCCCCTCGGTCTCTCTCTCTCCGTGACATGGGTCGTGCCTCCTCCACCATCGTCCTGTCCACCCTCCCTTCTCCTGATATCTCCAATATCATGTCCTTGAACAATGGACCGTCTTCCTCAGACATACTGGTGTATTATGTACTTGCAGACTAATGGGAATATTAAATCAAGCTATTTCATTTGTAAATATCCTTTGAGGCTCTTTGGGTATTTTACGATACCAACCTTGATTATATTCTTTGCAAGATGTTTTACTATTAAAAGCCAAATCTCAATTATTAGTCTTGAGTCTAGACTTTTAAGGAAAGCAAAACTTACTTATCTTTGTTTCCAGTGTTACTCCTGTTAGATCCTTAGTGCGGTTCTATGCAATGTTCTATTTGTAGTTAATATGCATGTAACAAAATTGTTTAGATCAAATTGTTTATTTTTAATTTTTATTATTTTTGTTTATTTTCTTCTTTTTGAATGTATGAAAACCTAACGTCTTAGTTTCTTCATAACCTGTAATTAAAGATTTCTGTAAATTTTTTGCACAACCAAGCCCCTTTTAGGTAGGTAGTTTCTATCAACTATAAAACACAATAAACTAGTATAGTATAATAATTTATTCTAAATAATGATCACAATTAAGTACTATTGTATAATTCAAATTTTGCCATTTTTTTGTTTAGACAATTCTTGTTAATTGATATTTTTTAATGGAAATCTTTTTATCAAACCCCATTTAAACCAATACCTTGTAAACAATATTGCATTTAGCAAATGCACTCTAAATTATATATTATAAACAAAGCTATCTTTATTGAGCAGCAAAAACATCTTTCCTTCATTTCTACAAGATGGTTCATCTCTTTTTAGGGGAGGTTTTGTAGAATATAAATAATTAAAGTAGCATTAAAGATGGATCTACCCATTGTTTATCAGAAAACCTGAAGGTATTTATTTTTTTTTATTTATTGATAAAATTTGCCTTATTGTTGGGTGTCATAAAAACACATACCATTTAGTGAGCAAAAGGTAAAGGTGAGGTAAAGGTTTGATAATCGGTAATTTTTGAAATGTTATTCATGAGGTTTTGAATGTTTGGGCTATAGTTGTATGCCCCACAATTTAATGTTGAACTTATAATGGCAAATCATTTTACTATGTGCATTGTCGGTGCCTTAAAACAATGATTGAAAATGTTGTTTCATTCTTTTTAACAGTACTTAACATAGTTCACACAATTTTATAGAAATCTATTTTACCAAATAAGGTCAAGAATCGAAAATAATTTTAAACTGTTTTCAAATTATTATTTAATGTACAATAATTTATACTGACATTACGTTACACTTCTATCCGTTGTTTTTATTATTTTATTTTGTTTTGTTGAGTGCTATCATATTTTTAACTAAACAGTTAAATACAATCTTCTGATTTAATAAAAATCGTTTTGCATCAGGCTCCGACACCTCTATCACGAATGCCTTCTATATCTATCATGTGTGTTGTTCATCATGCATGCTAAATTATCTCGAATACACTTCCTCAGCCTTGGATCAATGTACAGGTTCAACACTCCATTGCATCTGTTGGTTTTGACAGTCAAAGTCCCTGTTAGGTTTGCTCCTTTCATTTTCTGAGCTGGAGCCTGTGGTTTGATTGGTTTTCTGCTCACCAGTCCTTCAACTACAATGTCAAGTTGAGGAGATTCCGGCATTCGGCCACTTTTAGTTCTTCTTCTCCCAGACCCAGAGCCATCGTCTACATATCTTATCAGCCGTTCGCCCTTTTGTGACTGGCTGATCTCACAGTTACTTCCGTCTCGGCAGAATGCAGATGTTATTTCTTCAGTTACAGTTTCTTTTTCAGGATCAATTCTGGTTATTTTTATACAGCCACAAGGGTATTTCTTGGTCGTTTTTAAACCACTTGGTGATCTCTCAATGACGACGCCATCATGAGATGAAAGCTGATGTTTCGGATCTCGAAAACTTGTGACATCAAGATCCGAACCTTGCTCTGACTTCCCAGACTTTTTGGACTTGGTATCAAATGATCTGCTTTTGCTTTTACTATGCTTTTCGTCATCTTCGTCATAGGATTTTTGCGACTTTTTGGACTTTGTGTCATCTGATCTGCTTTTTCGCTTACTACTTTTTTTGTCTTCTTCATCTTCGTTGTAGGTTTTCCAAGACTTAATTGATTTTGAATCATCTGGTCTGCTTTTGTGCTTATGATCATAGTAATCTTCTTCGTCTGCATACCTTACATTTCCATCGAAAGGATTTCTATTCAACTCAGTTTTCTTATTAACAAAAATCAAAATCCCCTTGGGCCCCAGAGCTCCTAGAGCGTGTAGCTTTTCACTCTCGGTAATTTTCACGCTCTTCATATCACTGCGAACACTTTGATCACTGGGCTCACTTTTCTTGCCAACACTATATTTATCACCCTGATAAGATTGAGTATTTTCTGGGGAAAAGAATACATTATAGGTCGTGTTTGGAAGTTTACCCACGTAAACCATGGTTTCAGGCACAACTTGTTTGTGCTTGTTCTGTTTAGTTCTTTTTGCTATAAAAGGAACTTCTTTGCATACATCCAAACCAGTCTGAGAGTCTTTTATGATTAGTGGCTCACTAAAACTTAAAATAGTTCCAATTACGTTACTGTCCTTGAGTGTATTCTTTTTTAGTGAAAGTTTCTTATAACTTTTTGTTTTTGTTTTGCGTTTTTTTGTTCCGCTTTGGCTCTTTTTTCTCTCTAAGTTTAAGGGCGTTCGATGTACAATATGGCTAGGATATGCTAGAACCGCCGTAGAAACATTGTTATCGTCATTACCTCTAAATGGATGACCTGTATTTAACATAAGTTCTTCAGGAATTTCAAAATTTAATTTTTCGTCTCTATCAAATGATTCTCTCAGATTTTTTTCTGTTTTTTGTGTACTTCTATCTCTCTTAGTTTTTGAAAATTCACTTTGTTGTAGGTTGCTTGTATGAAATTTATCCAAATCATCTTTATCCCCCTTTACAGTTACTTCTTCAAATGCTACTGTATTTTCAGAGGGATCAGTCTTTCCATGGTGTTTGATCTCATGTTGAAATGTGTGGCTAGTTTCTTCCTCCGGCATCCTAGTTGGAAAAGAAACTACACCAGAATAGTCATTAGATGCTTTTATGGCTTCCATAATGATTCTGTGTGTTGCAGGGTCAATGAATATGGGTTTATTTTTAGCATTGTATTCAGTTGGGACTTCCCTGTCATGTATTGGGTTAAAAGTGTACCTTTGAGATGAGGTCGGTCGATTACTAGTATTCTGATTAGGACCATTTTTTGCATTTTCATCATCGATGAGGTTAAACGCTAAGGGCTCGTTTGCGTATGGAGAATCTACTGCATTAGTACCGGTATTAGTAGTATTACTCTGGTGCATTGGGACTGTAATTTCATTGGAGGAAGGTAGCAATAGCTGATTACCATTCTCAATAGAATATCCACTATTAAAGTCATGTAATCTTATTTCACGTTCAGACATCACATTTTCTTTATGGAAGACTCCATCAACAGGTTTGGGTGGAAGAACATCTGTAAATTGCTTGCTTAGTTCTTCTTCTGGTACAACCACAATCTCTTGTATTATATATTTCTTTGAAGGTCTTGAAGAGCTCCCTTGAATGCTGTTTTTTGGTGTATGAAGTTTCACCGAAGGCTTTCTCCAAGAGCTAACTGGCGATGGTTTTGGAATGGATGATCTTAGTAAAGAGAGTCTGGATTTTTTAATGGCTATTTTACTTCCTATAACTTCTGGTTTCTTCTTAGATGATTGTTTGCTGACACTTTTATTCAGTGGATTTATTCTAGCGCTTGATTTAGATGCCACTTTTGATATAGTGTCCATTTCGATTTGATTATCTCTGCCTCGAACGCCAGGTTTTTGTAATAGAGCTGACAGCGTCTCCATGTCCAATGTAGTTGCATTAACTAATGGTTTTGTAAAATTGCTGCCATGAGATCTAGAGATCGCAGCACTGGCTTCAACATCATCTCCGTTAGTTTGAGAATGAGATTTTTTTCCTGTTTGCGATTCCCCCTGATATGTTTGAATATTTTCTGGAACAGATATGACTATCGTTCTCTCACCAACTCTTGAGTTGCCAAGTAACTCCTCCGTTTTTGTACCTCCATTGCTTTCATTTATCAAAGTTCCTTGAACATTATGTGGATCTATATGCATTGGCGATTCCCTATTTTCACCCTCAAAAGAAGCACCATTGATCTTTGAACCTTTCGTAAATAAACTACGCCCTCCGTTACCCACACGAAATGCATTAGTGTCTTTTTGCATTTTTAAATAACTTTGTTCACTGGATGATATTTCTGGTGTAGTCCCACAGACCGCATCATATAAAGCGAACTCTACTTGTTTTACTGGCGCAACCGAATTACCAACTATCCGAATATTGCCTTTCGCTCCCGCAGGTATTGCAATGCAAACATCATGGTCTCTATACTTATTAGTGCCTTTTGTGACGCGTCTTTGGCTAGGTTTAGGCTTTGTCTCCTCCTCACTCTCCGTGGAAGTGGAACTGTTAGGGTCATAAGTCGTAGTACTCTTATCCGGTACAAAGCTTCCACATGTTTTGTCATTCAATTTCTTTGGTGTGTCGACACCAGCTGTGTACGTTTGTAATTCGATATTTGCTTGTTCGAAAGAAGATTGCTCAAAAGGTTTGTCGCTCACCTTAACAGATAATGTGTTTTCACTTATCTGACCATTATGAATTTGCTCAGGTGATTTGTTGGATTTCTTATTCATTTTTTAAACTTCTTCTTCATTTCATTGTAGTGTTTGATTAACTTCTTTGCCTAATAAGATTGATTTTTCTACATCCTCTAAAACAATATTTTCCTAATTGCATGTCAATAAAATGGGTTCCTTTTTCATAATTTACATTTATTTGGCCTTAGAGTCTTGAAAATTGGTATTTATAATCCTTGAAATGTTTCTTCTTTAGTTTCTTTTTCAGAGTGTTCTCTGTAAATAAAGAAATTCATATATCTCACTATCCACTTTAAGTACTCGTTAAACTAACACCACTCAATTGCTAATCATATTTTTTTAGGTAAAATATTTCTATAAAAATACATACATGAATTTGTTTTACAGCAACACAGTTTTAATATAACAAATATTTACTAAAAATAATTTGTAAACAAACATGAGGCTTGTGATCCAGGCGCTTTCGATATCCAGTAAAGATTACTATTTTACTTTTAGATACTGATGTTCTATCAATATTGGTTGTTAAAGATTACCTAATATTCTCAACAGCTCAATTATTGATTTAATCATTGAAAGTATTTAACTTATTTTACATTTTAAAGACTAAGCCTATTTAAAAAAAAAATATTATTTTTAAGTAGGTATTTTCGTTTTGATTATAGTCGTTAATTAAAGATTCAGTTAACATAATTGTCAAATTAAAATATATGTATCCTCAAAATAGATGTTTTTCAACATTTAGACAAATTGGAGAAAAATGTTGGTGGACGTACAACAACGTTACAGAGAGGTTGAATGTAAAACAACAGAAAACACAGCGGTATTATTAATGAGGCTTCCGGATTGTCTACTTTACCTGTGTTCTGTCCATTTCAGAGAAATATTTAACAAGCAAACTGGAAATGAGATGAGAAATCTCTTTGATCTCTCGCGATTCATTCCCGTGATACGTAATGTGCAATCGGTGTATTACGGATTGAAAATATAAGGAAAAGCGTATTAAACGGTTCCAGTAAACATTGCGTTGTCCTATAGGTGATATTAAATAATATAATTATTCTTTCCCTTTTACAATGAGCACAATTACAATGAGGATACAGATAATCATCACATAGGCTTCTTTTGTTCTAAATTGATGGTATATTATCACTACATTTTCATATTATTGTATTCTTTAATTTTTTAACTTGTAAATTTAGTTTCTTATCAACAGCTTATTTATAGGAAGTTAATGCAATGGAAACTTCTGTTTGTCCCCTAGTATCATAGCCATAAACATACAGTACTAAAAACTTTCCCTTAAATAAGAGCTTGACATTATCCTGCACTCAAATGTTAAAGGACGTGGCAAACGGATGTCAAAAATAGCATCAAATTTTACTACAGTATGAGAATTTTAGTAGGGCTATATCCAAACTGTACTTTTAAGTCGTTTACCCATTTAACAATACTACTTTGACTTGTTTAGTACCTACTTAGCAATTAGCACGAATTATTATAACAGATCCCGTTATGCAAGTGCATATTTTCCATGGAATGTGCAGTAAAAAAAACTGTTAAATGAATAGACATCAATCAAGGACCAAGCTTATCATAAGGAGCGATCCATCAAAACGCTCCCTGTTGAAATGATCTTGGAAATGAGCTGAGGAATGTATACCACAAGCATATACAAAACCTTTTTTATTTTTATTTTTTATTTCAATTCTTATGGTTTGAGACTTTTTGAAGTAGCTAGAGTAGATATTTAGGATATTTTACAAACCACAGGCTAAATTGTGTTATGCAAATGCAATTGTATTCCTTTAAGAAATTAAAAATAAAGAGAATCTTATAATAAAATAAAGAGAATGTTCAAAAATCAGCAGTCAAGCTTCACTATCTTAATTTCACTTGAAGTTAATAGTTTGATTTAGCTTATGATTCTTTTTGGGCTAATGTGATCTTATTCAACTTGAATTAAATTAAAGATATTCTTCTAACTAAAACTAACTAAAAGCTTTCAGACTATTAGATCAAATATATATTTATAAAATGCATACCTAATACTGTTAAGTATTATTTAATTTTTTTTATTTAACTTAGTGGCCCCTCTCAATAGACTAATGTTAAAATTCAGAAAGATATTTCTAAGAATGATCAGCAAAATTTTGTTTGTTTAAGAAATAGAATCTACTATTTTGGAGGTTTGAATATAAGTATAGATACAACTAAGAAGTTGTTTACGTGTTAACAAAACATTCATAAAAACCAATAACCATCATTTTTACCCAAGAAGAACACTGTAAAGTGGTATTTATAATTTTCTTAGTATCATAACTTGACCTTGTCGATAAGTTCTCAAACTTGGCAAGGCCAGGCCATTATAATGATATGAATCATTTGAGTTTGAGTTTGAAAGCATATTTATTACTAAAACCCCTTTGCTATTAATTCTACTGTAGAAATGTTATTGCTTTGTTCCAATTGTAGCCAGTTTTAGCAGAGAAAAATAAGTTCATGAAGTTTAAGTGGGGCACCAATAAAGTATACAAATATAAAATGTTATTTTCTTTCTTAAACTGTTAAACATAAATTCATTCAAACATCAACTGATCAAGAAGGTCTTACTGTAAACAATATCATCTTTCTTTCCATCTGGAAAAAAACTTTACACAAATTAAAATATTATAACAACTCAAACAAAAAATAGTGACACACTCAATCAGAGCTTCATCAAACACCATAACAGTGTTTCCATTGAAGAAAAAAATCCTTTAATATAAATGGGATATCTACAATATTTACTTCAGTAAATGCTTAATGCAAACTTTGTTCAATTATTAGCAATACATTCTTCTATGAATAAAGATTTCAAAACACTGCCGTTTAAATTATTTTACTTTGCATTTTAAATGATCCTGAACATGCAGACACAAAGTAATTTCACAGACTGTTAGCCCAAGCTGTGAAGTTTCTAAACGTTACTCTGATGGAATCAAGTATTTGAATGATTTTATCATGAACGTCACCGTAGGTGTCTCTGATATCGTCTATAAAATCACTCCATTCGTCTTCCTCGTATAGGACACTTATTCTATCAGCGAGTTTAGAATAGTCCACTTCCTTTGTGGAATCTTCATTGATATCAGTATTAGCGTTAGGAGGAGGATTTTCGTCATCAGAATTGTCAGATGGTCCATTTATTATTTCATAATCCTCCTCAGTAGTCTCTTCCATGTTACAAATCTCCCATTCTTCTATGTCAGAGTCAAGAGATGAGCTTTTATCGTCCATTTCTAGGTAGAATTGTGTTTTTTTCTTCAAATTATTGAACTGCAGATTTTGATTTGAGTTTCCAAAGAAACGTGTTTGGTGTTAACTATGATTTTGAAATCCCACATACATGAAAGTTATTTCTTATCTTATCTACCAGGATTTTCTACAATCAAATTTTTAAGCGTACAATTTGTTTATAAAATCTCTTATGACCAATGTGTACCTATTTTTTTTTCAAAAGTTTATTTTATAAGGTCATCTTTTTTGTGATGTTTAGTTAAATTTTTATTATATTTATCATTTTATGGCTTTCAAAGAATTAAGATCTTAGAGAGTATGAGGTTTTTAAAGCCTCATTTTGAAATCTCACAATGCTGTACTTTACAAGATTACGTAAGCTATGTAGGATATCAACAAATATCAACCGTTATAAATTTGTTATCTTCAACACTTAAAAATGCAAAGAGTTGATAACATAATATTTTATTTATTGACAACATGCTTTTAAAATGAAAAGGTTGACACAGAGTCATCACAATGTTTCAATTTAACCACATTCAAACATTAACACCAATTTAGTAGAATTTATCTCCAATATAGTAAGGAGTTATCTTGACTGGGCCGTCATAGTTAAAGTCAACGTTGTTTTCTTTGCTAATGTTGAAGCAAGAGTTGAACCAAGGCTCCTTCATCTTGTGGTCTGTTATCTGCAGGTGGTACCGCCTTCTAGAGGTCAAAGTTGTCGCTGACTTCGGCATTGTCACCATACGATACTTGGTAGGATCATGGCCATCTTTTGGTCTTTCATTGCCTCTATTTTTATCATAGTCTTCCTCATCCTGTCTCCCTTGCCGAGTTTTACCTCGATCTTTGTTTTCACCTTTTTGATTTCTGTCTTCTTCATGAGATTTGTCTCTTGCTCCCCTTGCTCCTCTTGCATCTTTATAGTTTTTCTTATCACGATCCTCGCTATCAGATCTATGTCCATGTTTATTTTTTCCATCTTTATCTCCTTCATCATAGCTTGTTGTTGATCTTGTACCTCTACTATCATGTTTTTTCTTTGCATATTCTTTATCTCCTGCCCTCACACCTCGTTTGGAGATTTTACCATCAGACCAATCATGATAGCTATCCCTGGATTTTGTCTTTGTCCCATGTTTTCTCCCATCATCGCCATATTCTGTTCTTGTTCCCCGTTTACTTTTTCCATCATCATGTTCCTGATCTCTGATTCTCCTCCATTTACTATCATTGCTTTCATACGAATCGTCATCTTTAGTACCAGGCATTCTTCCTCCTTGGGATTTCTTTCCTCCATATTTTTGTGATTCATAATCATTTGATTGACCACTTTTTATAGACTTATCTATATTTTTTAGTGGTGGTTTATCGTAGATATATTCTCTCCTGATATCATCATATGAGGATCCATCACTTAGCCTCCTGCCATCTTTTGCATCATAATCTCTGTACTTCCCTTTCCTCCCATCTCCCTTTCTAAAATCTCCATCCTCAAGGCCATCGTCCCATTCATCCAACATAATTAAAACTTTAACTCTTGATGATGGGTGAGCTTTCATTTCTTCTAAGTCCTTTGCAAATGGAGTATTATGATCCGTGGGCGTGAAAGCAACTGCCATAGCAGTAACAGCTTCATTGGCATTTGCTATTGAACCCATTAAAGTTTTGTTAATAGGCGTTTTGCCACCCATTATAGAAGCTTTTGTATAAAGAGAACCAGTAGTTCCTACATTTTGTTTCTTTATTAGGTTATCAATTGTGCATCTTCCTTTTTCCTCATCCCTTACGTCATATCCTTTACACTCGTAATTCTTACATCCTTTGATTCCATAGTAACTTTCTCTTTTTTCAGTTTGTCCTACAATTTTTGTTTTAGGGTACAAACAAGTTTTCCCCTCAGTACCACTATCTGGTCGTTGTTCTTTCTCCATTACTTTCTGCGACTTTTTACTTCCGAGTTCAACCATGTAGTGTCTATCACTATCTGGTACTCCAGTATTGAACAAACCCGGATTCCTATTGGCATTTCCATTACTAGACATCAATACTAGTTCTTCCATTTGGTCTCCATAAATTCTTGATTTCCTTTGGGAAGTCAAGTCATCGACGGCTCTCTCCTGGTGTAGAGAAGTCCTTAAATTTTGATTGTTTTTCCGAAAGTATGACTCAAAGGGGTCTGTTTTCTCCCCAGGCAAGGTCACCTCGCCTGTGCTCGCAGTGTTGACGATTGTTGCTCGTCTTTGCCTCAGTGGGAACTCTAGATTCTGATGTTCCTCAGCACCCGGCAGTTGCACGAGCATGATCGGCGGCTCATCTCTCCGGACACTATGGCGCAGGATATTATCCAACCTTTCTGGATCACGTTCTTCTTGAGTTAAATATCTCTCATTTTCGTTACTCATCTCAATGTTATATCAAATTGAATAATGATTTTTTGAAAGAAAAATATTGAATATTAAAAGAAACGGAAAACCATTATGATATCTTCTGACATATTTCATTCAAACGATGCAACTGACACCTACAAAAATGCTAACTTTAGATTTCCAGTTTTCTTCCAATAGTAAGTTATATAATTTAACCTATCCCTTTTGATTGCATGAGAGTAACTAAAGGGTGGTAGGACTTATAGTAAATATAAAACAAGTATTTATAAATATATCAATGTCTGGCTATTCACTGACAAACCATATCACTATAATTTTTAAGATTGAACTACTTAATTCCAAAACCTTAGGTACCTTCAACAGATAAAAGTTTAACATACTCTGCAATGAGATAAAGCGGTAAAAGAGAAAACAACAAATTTATTGATTTCAATTTATTATTCATTCCCTGGTTACCAATGTTCGTGTTATCTGTCGATGTTGCAGCCTCTATGGTAAAATAATAGTTTGGTTAAGAAAAAAGTGTAATCAAAAAGTTTGCTTACCTAAGGGAGTAGTAGGGTATGTTTTTATATGTTGCCAATGTTACAATTAATTATTTCACATTCTTTTGTACCGTAACGTATCTGTATTAGATTTTTCCTGAAATAATACAATTTGTTTTTAAAAAATTTAAAAATACAGTTAATACGTCAATAAAACTTTATAGTTTCTAACATCACGTAAAACTTAGTAGTTTCTAACATCGCGTAAAACTTTGTAGTTTCTAAATTGAAGATTGAAATCAAAAACTTTCTATGAATGCGATTTTTTAGATCTAATTTTTGTGTCCTTAAAGAGATAGCAATTTTAAATTTTAAAATTATGAAACCCATCGTTTTGCAACATATAGGCCTACTAGCTACAATTATAAATAAGTGAAATAGCTAGTCACCTCATTATCATTGAACACAGAAAATTGAAAGTAGATTATCAATGGTAAAAACTTACCAATCATATTTTAACTTCATTTCATTAATCTGTGTGCACTATTTTTAAATTTTGTAAACAAAAAAATTAAATGATCACATTATGTACGGAAAAACATTTCTGTGAAGCGATTCAGAGAATACAAATCTCTAGTCAATTTTATATCTACAACTAAGTTTGTTCCATTTAGAAATTGACTTCTTATTATAAAAGCCACTTTGGGGGTTAGTAACCAATGTACTGGGTAGAGTTAGAGCACTTTCCTGACAAACTACTACCAAGAAAACTTCAATTTACCAATCATAGTAATGCAATCTTGTACCATTAAATACTTGAGAATGCAGTATATTGTATACTTACAGGGTTTACTCCAAATTTATCACAAAACATGACAGTGTAGAGTTTGATGTTGTTGTGTTTACTTTGAATTTGAAATGAACTAAGTTGTTTGCATACCATATGATAATTGCCTTTATTATGTTAAAACCCCTTAATGGATACATCTGTATGTTTTTTTAACATGTGTTTGCATAACAATTTTAGTTTTAAGTGTTTATGCTACCTTCTTATATGTAAACAAATATATATAATATAATTTGAGATTAGTTCTTATCTAATAGTCAATGCTTATCGACCTTAAAGTCTTTCATGAATAGTTTTTAGGCCATAACAAGTTTTTTTTTTCCATTTGAGTCAATAGTTTTTGTATTTTATAAGAAATCCCATTGACTTTGTTCATACAAGTAGGTAGTCTTTTCCTATTGTTGAATTCAAATTCTCTTCGATATTTGTTTCATATTCGTTACGTTTGAGTGAGCTGAGACTATATGTTTCTTTATCATAGCAATTTTAAGATTTGACCTTACTATTTTTTTCTTGTCTGGTTCTTTTTTCAGTGATGAAGAGAGTGAGAGCTTGAAACACATTTGTTTTAGTGCGTCTATCCGCTAGAAATGCAAGAGGACAAGCACAAGCAATTGCTAACAAATATATTGTTGAATTTAGTTTAACAAGTTTTTAAACTGGTGTTGTAGCAGTAAATAAACTTTAAAAAGTGGCATCTGCAAAAACCTCGATATATTAGATTAATTCAGTGGTTTGTTGCTATATTTAATCTTTTCAATTACTTTTTTTCAGAGACGTTTAAACCCAGTAAAATTCAGCATGTCCCCAGACCACAGGTACCTCTTGCTCATCCACAATGCTCAAAAGGTAAGTAAATTTTAAAATTACTCTAATGAACCTGTAAACCATTAACTTTCACTTTTTACTTACACTTATTACTTTCAATTTTTCTTTTTCTTCTTCATTAGTTCCCTCTTTCTCATTCCTCAGTATTAATCTCTACCCTTTTATACAATCTCTAATGTTCCGTCTTTATCTTTATCCCTTCCCCCACCAAGAGTAATTTTACCCTTTTATCTTTATTTTTTTTATTCATCAACTAATATATTAATACGAGAATTTTATATATTAGATGTGGAACCTGATACACACCATAGACAAAAAGAATTAAATATAGACCGTCAGCCGTGCTGCGGTTACCATGGTTACCATAGGTTCCGGCGCACACCACTGTAGTTTACATAGCACGTACGCCATAACTACATGGCGCTCCAAGCGGTGTGTGACAGAACCTATGGTAACCGCAGCACAGGTGACGGTCTATATTTAATTCTTTTTGTCTATGTACATACTGATATTATTGTGCATAAAAATGTACTTTAACTAATTATATATTGTAATTTTCTAGCTGTTCCGGTATTCATTTCTCGCCCAGTACTCCATTTATGATATTGCAGCAATGTAAGTAAAAAATGTGGGATGTTTTAGTATAAACAATATTTTCATTAATCAAATATTGTAAGAGTGGACATTTTACAGTTCAAGTCAAGTCAATGATCTGTTTTCACATAAACGTTTACAATGGAACCCGCATAGCTGGGTAAACAGGTGAAATTGTCAAATTCAATTACAAAACAACTTAAAACTATAAGATAAAAAAGGTTTAGAATAGAATTTCAAGTAGGTTGAAAATGATCATTTAGGAAATCTTGTACACTATAATAAGAGTTATCTGTAAGCAAATTAGACATCTTTTTTTAAATAAGTTACAATATTTAGTAGCATTTTTACTTAGAAAATTAAAAACTTTGGGTTGAACGCTGCTCTCCTCTAATAGCTGTTTTATCTGTTGCATCTTAAATCTTTAAATTTCACTGTTAAGATAAGCAAACTGGCAAACTTCTCTCATTTGCTCTTTTGAATTAGAAACTTTCCTGAATATGTTTACACTAGAGATAGCAACAACTTAGAGATGAAGTCTTTCAGAAAATATTCCTCAAACTTAACCGTATCCGTTGTCTGTGAAATCCTTGAAGTGATCGCAAAACAAACTTAACTTGATTTGATTTTATACAAAAGTGGCTGAAAAGTTTCCTATACAGTTCATAGTTTTTGGAAAAAACACTAAAATTAACTGAATTGAACAGTGTTATTTAATTTTGTTGGAATATATAATAACTTATAAAAATTGTATAACCTACCTGTACTTGTTAGTAACTAATCTTAAAACAGTTATTTTAGTATAGTCTGGATAAAGTATATACCTATTAAAATGTTGGCAAACCTGTTTATCTCCACTTTTATTTAGCTTATCTGAAGGTAAAGCATACTTTCTGGGGGCTTGGGCTGTATTCTTAAGGTTTTGACTTACTTGATCATGTTAACTTCTTCTGAAGGACCTTAACTCTTCCTTTCCAACACAGGTTGATAGTGTCTCTCTTTATCTCTTTCCAGGATTTTCGCCTCTTTCATTTAACTCCTCAATCAGTGTCCTTTTCCACGTGTTTCATAGTCCTTTCATTCTCCTGCTTCCAGCAGGGTTCCACTCCAATCAGAAATCAGAAATCCTTTTCTAAATTGTCCTGTGTTGTACCAATGTTCTTCATAATCTCCCTTCTATAATCCATGAATTTTTAGAAAATAGGGTTTAAGATGTCAGTGAAAACCAACATGTGTAAACTGTTAAATAGATACATCTTAATAACTTTTCTATTGTAAAATGGTGGAACAGTTGCAAATAAATAAATGTGTGCAATACATGACTTTTAATTCCTCACAGACCACACACATTATCTGCTTGCTATGCCAGTGCTTATTCAATAAAGTTGGCACAAGCTTTTTTAGGCGAAACCGGCCCAAAACCATTGAAACTTATTTAACCCTAATTTTTCATTGTATCAACAGTACAAAATAAAACATTATAAGATTCTTTTTAGTGAGTTGCACTACGTACCTTAGGTTTGTTCTTACTAATGTTATTTGCTTGCAGGGACATCATCCCCCTGACCCCCACCCCTGACGAGGACGACCACCCTTACCTACTACACGCCGCCTGGACTCCTCGAGGCCACTCTCTCATCATGGTGTATAACTACGATGTCTACTATCGCCCCACGCCTCGCGGACGACAGGTCTACAGGGTGTCCAAGACAGCTGTGCCAGGAGTCATCAGCAATGGCGTTCCGGACTGGCTGTATGAGGGTGTGTACAGATTAGAACCATTCATCTAACGATTTTTATTTGTCAAAATAAATAAACCATTTATATGCACCAACATGCGTATATAACAAAAACTTTTTGGGGCAATTTTTATTTGCTAAGCCTTCAGGTTCAAGAGATTATTCAGTGACTTAATTATGTTATGCCTATTACTTTCAAGTCTTTCCTTATCTTACAAATGCCAAAATACCGATTCTCTGAACAAAAGAGGGTTTTGATGAACACACACTGTACAGATAAGCAAAAAGGTAGCAAAAGTGTTAACTGTAATAACGTTTGATAGTTTGCACATAAAGTGCAACTATCAAAAAATGCACCCATCACTTCAACTTCCACCCGAGTCTTTCACTGTTTATTTTATCTTCCATCAAACGCTACCACAAACAGGTGGGTCATCTGTTAAATACAAGACCTGATGGAGACAGAAGTCCAATTCTCAATACTTGGTGATGTATTCTGACCAAGGACAATACCTTGGATTGCTTGGCTATTGATCAGTCACACCGGACAAACAATACTAGTCAACTCAAAGCCTAAACATGTAAATTATTGTAGCCTACTCCTAAGCAGCATACAACATTAAATGAGGTATTGCTCTAAACTTTGTTTGTACAGATGTTTACCTGATCGGTAAAATTCTAGTGTGCCCTATGTTGTTTAATGTTTTTTAATTTTATTTAGAGGGATCCTCTAATCTTTAGTTATAACACAAGATTACAAGCATTAGATTATAAATATATTTTTTATTGATACTAAATATGTGCTTGAATTTAAAATTGGGGTTAACATCAAATTAAGCTTTGCCTATACAGGAGGGAATATCTTAAAATTGATTTCAGCCACACAAGGAAAATAAGTCTCTGAAAGTATCTCTAAGATTCATCTTTAAATTAATAAGCAGGGACACAAAAATATATCTGTCAATGATGTAGAATTCTTTGAAACAAAAAGAGTATGTAGACAGGAGACAGCCTTGGGTCATGTAGGTATGTGGCTTGTTGTACAGAGTTAACGAACACCTGTAGTTGCCGAGAACTCTTCACCTTACTTGACATTACTTCTTCCCCTTCCACCCCTCTGCTTCTTCTCTACATTCTACCGATCTCATTGTCACTGACAATGTCAATAGTAAAGTACAAATATTACGCTAATTAGTTGATTATTTTTATAGTATTTACCAATGTGGAGAAAATTACATTTTAAAAATTGAATGTTTCTTATCAATTTAAAACATTGAAAATTATGATTTTTACGTAGGGATGTTGTTCTGTATATATGACTTAAGGATGAAAAGCGCTATCTCTTTGAAAAACAAACAAAAAAGCTAAATATGCTACTGTACTGTTGTTTTCAAATCCAACAACTCAATTCCAGAGGAGATTCTGAACCACAACACAGCCCTGTGGATGTCCGAGGATGGACACATGCTGCTGTACGCTTGCTTCAACGACACCCAGGTACAGGAGCTCAGGTTCCCATGGTACGGGGTAGCAGAGGAGGAACAGCCGCTGTACCCAGATATGAGGGGGCTACGCTACCCCAAGGTAAGTCAAACGCACATGTTGTAAGTTTCATTGATGAAGGGCTCTGAGTCAGGATTGTGGTTTAGTAGAATAAAGTATAAGTAGCCAGCTCAAAATTAAAAACCCCCAACTAATAACCCATAGAAGACACAGAAAATAAACAACACTTCATCCTCTGCGGACTCTGTCTTGTGTAGACAAAAAGATCTTGACAAAATTACTGTTGTAATGTCAGTATAATTTTACAAATTAAATTTACAGATTCTCATTGCAAGAACGACTTTGTCCTTAGTCAACACTAGACAAAGTCCAGGATCTGGTTCTAATTCATTACGATTAGGGAAGCGCTAATGGTGAGGACTTAATAGGTCAGGACAAATTTTTAAATAATTAAATAGTTCTTAAATATTTCTTTAGCTGTTTTGCAAGGATCTTTTTAGTTTAACCAATTTGTCTGATTGCAGCCCAGTACGAAGAACCCTGTGGTGACTCTGTACGTTGCAGACCTCGCTGACCCGAAGAATATACGAATAAGAGATCTAAAGGCTCCCATGGCACTGGGCCAGACCACGTAAGTTATCGATTAAGTTAAGATATGTGCCGATTATTCAATGACTGTCAATAAACACATGCTCTGCAACGTGTCTCGCTATCTTTTTCTAATCTTAGCGGAGGAAAAGGTTTTACAACCCGAGACATCTTAAGTGCTTTAATTATTACCGTACATTACACCAACACACCAGAGTGTAGCCTGTTTACAGGCAAAGATAAAAAAAGGATTTGAGTAGAAAGAATTGAATGAAGCTTTTTTTTACTGATTTGAGATCAGCTGGATGTTTACAGGACTATTTATTGAAAGCCCCACGGTCAAGGAAACTGATCAATTCTAAGCTAGCAGTGTTTGTTTGGCTCAACAATAGAACAAAATTAACTACCAATCTCTGAAAAGAATATCCTTTTTAGTTCCCTGTACAGTTTAGTACCACTTGTTTGCTGTTGATGATGTTGACTCTGTTTGTTACAGAGACTACTATTTCTGCGCAGTGACGTGGGTTAGTTCTACAGAAGTGTCAGTGATCTGGCTCAACCGAGCGCAGAATGTGTCTATGGTGACACTCTGCAAATCTCCCATGTGGTTCTGCCAGGAGGTGAGAAAAAAAAGAAATCACACCCTCAAATTCCAATACAAGTAGCACCCACCAGACACTTGGCAGGGGGCTTTACACTTTATTAACCGACTACAGTAGAGTATCGATTAACCAAGCTAAACAGACTGAATCAAGGTCGGATAATATAGACATTAGGAAGAAAAAATAAATTGTAAACATGTTAAGAAGTGTGAAATAAAGTTTACACGTTTACAAATCAATTCAATGTCCAAGTTTAACTTTCACTTGAAACCACTAACTTAATCTGTCCCAAGCTAAGCCATCACCACAAATAAAATAACCAACAAACACCATCACTGTAATCAAATGGGAATCACTCAAAATTTACCCAAATATTTTATGTGATCATTGGTCTCTTATCTTTCCCACGAGAACAGTTGTTTCAATACTACCCACTTTGGACCAATCTAGTACGGTTAAACCTTGATGTGCTGATAAAAATTGTCTGGAGAGGGAGTCAACTATACAGTGTTAAGTGACTCCACACAGAAATAGCATATGATTTCACGGCACTCAAGTTTTGTCTGCAGGGAGGGTTTAATGATTGAACATTGGATAATTTACTCCTGTATTAAACAATCTTACACACCTGTAACTATTGTTGTTCAGACGCAGAGGGTGAGTGGAGAGGGGAGAGGGTGGGTGGACTGTCCAGGCACCCCTCAGTTCTCGCCTGATGGTAACGTTTACATCACACTAGCGCCAGTGAGGGACGGCAACGCTGGGTACTACCGTCACATCGTGTCCGTCAACATACCCAAGAAACGGCTGCTGCCGCTGACACACGGCACCTTCGAAGTCAACAAGATAGTTGCGTGGGACCACACTAACCAGATTGTGTAAGAGCCTTTGGGCAGTTCATTTGTTTTGTCGAACATAAAATGTGTTTGTTTTGAAGGGTATAGAGCAATGACGAGAAGTGGTGGCAACGATTATTACAAGATATCAAGTATGAGGGAGTGAGAGAGTGATGGGGGGGGGGTTAATTAAGTTGTGGCTGGTGTAGTTATGTAAACAAATTCTCTACAGTCAAACAGACCAGTCGTTAATGACAGCTAGGTTCATGTATTTTAAAAACAACAATCTGAATTCATATTGAGGAATTTCTTGGACGTTCTGCCTGCTTATGTGAACAAGTGAGTCACTTTCTGAGATTAAGCAGGTATTATTTTTTGTTCTGTGAAACGTCAAGTATAAGTTTTGGGTCATTTGTCAAAAATATTGCTTAAATTTTGTTTGTCTGATGTGTAATGCTTAGTTACTTAATTCAATTCTGTGTCCATAACATAACCAACTTTACAACAACTGGCAAACTACTGTAAGGACAAAACTATACTTTTTATTAAATTACGAAATACACAAAAATATTTCGAAGTTAATGTTGTTGCAGATACTACCTCGGTGTGCCTCAGAACAAGCCTGGTCAGCTTCACTTGTACGCGGTGAGCTCGGCCGTGCCCAGGTCTGGCACTCCACTGACAGTGCCGCAATGTCTGACGTGTGGCGCCCCTGTACCTGCGCTGACAACACACTACGAGGGAGCCGCCACCCTCGGCTCTGGCACCAGAGACACCTACGACTGGGAGGACCAGCCTGAACCAGCCACCACCACGGAGGAACCTGAACGCAAGAGGAGGAAGAAGAAAGGTATGATTACTGTGATGATAAAGCTATCACAGTAAGTTGTATTTTATTTTCATTTGAGGATGTAAACAAAACTTTGTATTACTATTGAGGAGTTGTGAAAATTTTCTATACAAATCAATAAAGGAAATGCTCATGGCGTGTCAGGATCTGGAATCTAATTAATCAGACTATGAATATATTTATCATATCAGATATGATTCTTGTAAACTCCTGTTCACGGGGATTTTAAAAATTTTCCTTGTTACCACTTTTACTATTCAATCTCGTAACCAACCTTCTACTAAGTAATGCCTTTTCTGTAATTATAGTTTAATAATGCTCATTTAGCTGTTGAGTTACTACTTTCTTTTGGAATTTTTTCACTGTTAACAATAATAACTTAAGTTTATTTTTAGAGATATTTTTATCATGCAATCCTTAAGTAATTTTCCGATACAGTACTTATACATTACGTAATTTATAGGAAAGCTACTCTTAATCTACATGTTATTATGTCATGTTTTCTCTATATCTTTTTTATGTGTTTCAGAATAAATTTAAAGCTTTAAGTTTTTACTGTATTAAAATTGAATGTACCGTACCTATATGAATTTAGCTCATGCTTTCCTTAATTGCCATTTTTACGTGTGATGTGCCTAAGTAGAGACGGATTGATTTAAAAATTAATAATTAATAATGGAAAAAAATATAATGAAGAGTGGATTTTAAATTTTCAACTAATGATTTCAGAGCCGAGCTTCCGCTTGGAACCGCTCTACCGTCCTTGCACATATCACAACATCTACTTCAGCCCGGGACTGCAGTACTACATAGACGAGTGTCTGGGACCAGGCATACCAACCGTCACTCTCTACACCACCTATGGCAAGAACACGTCTGCACCTGCCATAGAAAACATCCAACCCCAGCTGTTGGCTACACTGCAGAACAACTCTAAACTATATGTGAGTGAAGCAGAAAACAGCTGATTTTTACAAAGCTGGCTTTCTTCAACTCTGTCTCAAAATATCTAAATAATCACAGAAAAGCACAACACAAAATAAATGTGAAATGTAACTTGAAACTAACGATAGTATTTTTGTGATTATTCAGTCCTAGTGATACCAGGGTCTGGTGTAAAATACTTATCTGTGCTGTATTTACCACAACAATATAAAATCGGGTGAGGTTTGGCAAGAACTAAATAATATGTCTTGGAACAAATAATATTGTATAAAAATACAGTTGTACAAATTAGATCAACAAATGGCCATTTTTGACCCTGAGAAATGTTTTAAAAACTTTTTGAGGTTTAAAACTAGAATAAGATGCCCAAGTTTAAGACTGGATTACATGAGCAAGTTTGCAAGATTATACTTGGAAAGTCGTAAGTAAGGAAGTAGGCTTGTCGGCCAGTACGACCCTCATTATAAACAATTTCTGACATCATTAACAAGATTACTACTTGTCGGTTGTGCACAAGCAGATTACCATGAACATCTCCAACGATCTCTCACCAACGTTGAGACGTGGTGCAATTAAAATGCAATGGAACTCAATGTTTCTAAGTGTCATGTTGTCTCATTCACAAGACTTGTAACATGTAGCACCTTTGACTACAAAATTGGTGGTGATATTCTGAGACGTGAGGATCGTGTGAGGGATCTTGGTGTCATACTTACTTCTACCTTGAGTCCTGCTGAGCACATCATTCATATTCCAATATGAAGCTGCGGGTAGTGGCGCAGCTTACGACGGTGGTCGAGTGCGAGAGAGAGCGATGGCGTGGTTTTTGTGTAGGGCAAGCGATGACAGCGCGATATCGAGACCAGTACTTGCTCCTTGACCTTGACCGCGGCGGCAGGACATTGCTGACTGATAAGGCTGACATTGGACTTGTGTCGTGGCTTATTAAGGCTAGAGCTCAGCTGATTCATTTGAATTATAAACCATGGAATGATGGAAGTGGGCTTTGCTCCCTTTGTAATTTAAATCAAGATGAAACAGTATTTCATTTTGTAGCAGAATGTCCAATTTTAAAAAACATTAGATTTAAATGGTTGGGTAGACATTTTTTGGCTCAAGCTGAGTTTATTTCATATTTAAATGGGGAGGATTGGAGTTTTTTCTGTAAATTTTTAAGGGAGGCTTGGTTTTATAGATGGGATTTAATCCAAGAATTTAATTTTTAATACGACTCTCTGCTGCATATACCACAGTTAGACGTTACTTATTTAATTGTTTTTTCTTATGTATATATTTAAAAAAAAATATATAAATATAAAAAAAATAAATGTTTTTGTAAATGAAGTTAAAAGTGTATAAATGATTGTTTTTTTCTTTTATATTACTGTACAGTTGGAATTGTTTTTTTTTTTTGTTAAGGATAAGGTATGTATGTTGCCAACCAAACAGACGGTCAACATTGACCATTGTTTAATAAGTGTTAGGTTTTTTATTTTAGCAATACCTATGTATTTTATTTTATGTGCAAGTTAGTGTTGTATATGTTGTACATATGGAGGTAGACATATTATGTAATTTGTACAATAAAGCACTTTTTCATTTCATTTCATTTCATTTCACATCATTCATATTATCGCAAGAGCTAATTCCATCTTAGGATTCATCCTTAGATCATCAAGAGACTTCAAGTCCCCACAGTCACTTCTAGTGTTATATAAGACCCTAGTGCGACCAGTTTTGGAGTATGGCTCTATTATCTGGTCACTTTATCAGCTTAGCCATATTGAAATGATAAATAAAGTACAATTACGCTTCCTCCGAGTCCTAGGTGTCCGACTGGGCTATGAGTATCGTGCCCCACCAATTTTGGAGCTTCAGGAGCGCTTCAACGACCAACCTCTCCATCTCAGAAGAAAGCTGCACGACATCCTTTTTTTTGTTTAAACTGGTCCGTAGTGAGATCGATTCTACCGATCTACTGGAGGGAATTAATTTCCTTATACCGAGAGGAACACGATCTTCGGATACATTTGCTCACTTGTACTTACCAACTAACTACTCTTTCAATTGTGGATTGGCCAGATTGCAGCGTCTTGGAAACAAAGTCGGATCACAAGTTGACTTCTTCAATGAACAGTTGTCTTCCTTCAGAAGAAAATGCTCCAACATTATCTTTGTTATGCCTGTTTTGTAGCTGATGTTTGTTTGTTTTTCCTAAATCTCTTTCATTCTTGTTATTCATTCATGGATTTATTGTTGTTTGTTGTTATTTTTTCACGTTGAACTTAATGTCATCATAGTTTATATTTTGTTAAATCTTGAGGAGATATTTGTTGTTGTTACTTTCAAAATCTATATGCTTTTTCTGAAGTCCAAATATAAAATTTTTTTGTTGTTGTTATTATCTGTACAATACTTTGTTAATGTTATTATCTGTAATTTTTGCCACGTTGTTGTTTTCTTGTTATTATTTTTGTTGCAATGCTGCTTTGTTTCATGGTCATTATGTTACTTATCTTGTATTTTTTGTTGTTATCTTTTCATTCTGGTCATGTGCTTAAAACACATATTTTGTAAATGGTGTATCCGTTGATATGAATAAATAAATAAATAAATAAATAAATTACCTAGTTTTATGATCAGTTTTCACAAAAGCCAGTAAGTATGGTCTGCATAGTTGATGGCAGATTACATTTTTTTAGAGAATTTTTAAAGTAGCTGTCGTGCGAGTGTGGTAGATACACTGGGCTAGTTTATGAGTTACAAGTAAAAATTCTGGGTAGTAAATGTCAATCTACCAAGTGTAATAGAGTTTTTTTTATTGAAAAAGTGATAGAATAATTCCATCCATTTTACTTTAAGATTCGCTCTTACACAGTGATTACATATTTTCTACCATGAAGTGTTCAAATTGCAGGACAGGATCTCCAAGGTGGCGTTACCTCAGGTGAAGACATTCCCTGTGCAGATCTCCGGTGGTTACCAGGCGCAAGTGCGACTACACCTGCCACCTGGACTGCGGGAGGAGGAGATCACACGATACCCACTCGTTCTGCAGGTGTAAGTAGCTACGGCACCTGCTGAATGACAGGGAGAAATGTTTAAGTTTTATTATAAGTATAGAAATTAGTCCATTATTGATTTATTTCAAAAAGACCAATGAACACATCAGTAAGGATTTGTAGATGTTTTAATCGGTTGGGGTGACTTGGCTAGCAGCGTTTTTTTTTCACAGAAGCTTGTATTGGTTGTCCTTGCCTGTCGGAAGGCATGTGGTAAAGATTGTGTCAATTAGGATGGCGTGTAGCGAGGGTGAGGGAAATGTTCCCAACAATACTGAGAGTCACACTACTAGGAGCTGGTAGTATTAAATTAATCCAACAGAAAATGATTGATGAGATGACTGCGCAAAAGAACAAAAGCGACTGAAGTAGGGATGGGTTCTTGGGAGTTTGAGCATCCTGTTTGCTTTTCTAATTGACATTATACTGCCTAACATAACAACACTCAAACCCTCAGAAAACGAGCAACAATTACCTAAACACAAGCCAAATGTTGATGTATTTTATCTCAGCTTAGGGGTGATAGCTATTGAATTAAAATTAAAATATTTCTCAGCTGGTGAAAAAAGCTGAAATGATATTTGCAGCTTAGGGACAGCCGATGTTGAAACAATTCCGCACTCTTTGTGTCAGCGACATCGCCAGTACAACAAAGCTAAAAAAGATATCAAACTCAATAACGGTACTGAAATGAAATGAAATGTGTTTATTGTCTTGTGAATTTATACAAATTATTGACAATGTCCGAAAAACTGCTAAAACTAGCATAGTCAATATACTAACTAAACTATAAACTAGCATGAATACAATATACAATATTTACAAGAGTACTACACACAAGGAGACATGTTACAATACATACTTTAATATTACAACCAAATAATCTTATTGTTCAGAAAAATGCAAGGCATTTAGAATAATGAAAGTTATTAAACCCCATAACCAACTAAATCCAACAGTAATTTGATAAATTTGCTAGCTCCTACTTAAAAATTAATAAAAGGCATTTCAAAAAAATCTTTTAGAGAATAAAAAGGGTTGTTCAAAAGCCATTTGTAGAATTTAGATTTAAAAGTTTTATTAGGATATTTTGTTATTAAATGTATTAGCTTGTTGTATATTTTTAGTGAGATTACAATATGACTTTTAAGAGTTTTAGACAGTCTAAAAAAATCTATGGTAGCAACGTTTTTATTCCTTGTATTATGAACATGAGAATTTTGTTTGATAAGGTTGGGATTTTTTAGAATATATGATACAGAGTCAAATATATAAATGTTAATTACTGTTGGAATTTGTAGCTGAATGAACAGGGGTTTACAGTGTTCCTGTTGGGGTTCACAAGATATGATTCTAACTAACTTCTTTTGTAAGACTAAAATTTCCTCTATCCTACTGCAATTTCCGTAAAAGATAATATTGTATCTGAAAATGGATTGGAAATAAGCAAAGTAGGCTGTTTTAATATAATTTTGATCTATACAATGTTTTAGTTTAGTTATAAGACAAATTACCCTTGAAAGCTTAGAACTTATGTAATCTATATGATCTCCCCAAGAAAGGGTCTTATCCAGATAAATACCAAGAAATTTAACATTGTCTACATAACCATCCAACATATTTGATTCACAGGGTCTAAGGCTAAAAACAATTTTTTGAGTTTTATCTTTGTTTAAGAGGAAGCCGTTTGATTCAAACCAAATAGAAGCTTCATTGATTGAGTTTTGAGCTAACTCTTGAAGTTGTTTAAGATCGGGATTAATATTTAAAAATGTTGTATCATCTGCATACAAATAAGTTTTACTGGTTATACATTCTGGGAGGTCGTTAATACAAATTAAAAATAATAGAGGACCTAGAACAGATCCCTGAGGCACGCCATATTTCATTTTTAATTCTTGGGACCATTCTCCATCAATATTGACTTTTTGTATTCTATTGTTTAAGTATGATTTGAAAAAAGAAAGTGGAGATCCGTTGATACCATAAAAACTCAAAAGTTTCACATTTTATTATTTTTCTATTAAAATATGTGAATCCTTGTTCTTGCAGTTACGGTGGCCCTGGGTCCCAGCTAGTGACTGATCGTTGGAAGGTGGATTGGAACACCTACTTAGCCAGTAGCCGAGACCTGATAGTGGCTCAGATAGACGGGCGGGGCTCGGCGGGGCAAGGCTACCTGATGCTGCACCAGGTCTATCACCGCCTCGGCACTGTAGAGGTGGCCGATCAGCTGGAAGTAGCTGAGTAAGTATTGATTTACACAGAAGTGATCGTAAAAAGTGCAGATAGTTCTAGTTTTAGTAGTGATTAACATATAGATATATTGTAAAAACAAGCATTACCACTGTAAAATAATGATTTATTTCCAAAAAAAGACTGTTTAATCACGTTCATTTTTGTTTAAAACAGCGACGTAAACCTAGATGCAAACTTTAAGCTTGAGTATGAATTTAGGAGTGTAGGATGGAGTGAGATAATCAGTGTAGCTTTTTACTGGCTAAGATCAGCTGTTTTCTTTAGCCAGGACCATTTATTAAAAGCACAAGTATTATGAATGACTGCTGAGTTCAGTTTTGAAAGAACAATAACTATAGTTCGGCCGCTTAGAAAACGACCTCCTCCAGCATTGGTTTAGCATTAGCGCGCAGGTCGTTTTCTAAGCGGCCGAACTATACCCACTAATATTTGGGAATGAACCCGAGACCTTTTGGTTGTGAGGGGAGCCCTATAACCACACAGCTACCCTGATAAATTTTATAGCAGTGGCAGTGGTAGATGATAAGACATTTGACATGTTCCCATATTCTGATATATTTGACATATTCAGATCAATTCCTATAAATTATTTGAAAAAACATCTATTGGTCAAAGTTGATGGGACCAGATGTACAGGACTGAATAGGACAATTCTTGTGTGAATTTATCCGATAGTCATGTAGGTACCATTTTGCTTTTTACAAAGGATCACATAGTCAAGCAGTTAAGAGCCTCTAGTATTTACAGTTACTCATAAACATGTTAACCCTCTGGATTACGTTTTTTACAAATAAAATGTTAAATAGTTGCACTGTCAACAATCCATTTTTTCTTGTAGCTAACAAGGATTCTAAACTAAAGTTTCATTTTCAAGCTGAAGTATACAATTAGTGGGAAAAATCCTCTTATCTTTGGGGTTGTGAAGAGTTGTCATACACATTTAACACTTACACAAACACTGATCTACATTGTTCTATACTTAGCAGTCTGTTGATGTTCCTAGATACCTGAAGGACAACCTCCACTTCATAGACAAGCGTAGAGTTGCTGTGTGGGGGTGGAGCTACGGAGGGTTTGTGTCAGCCAAACTACTATCTACCCCTGACCAGGATGTCTTTCAATGTGGCATATCTGTGGCTCCCGTCACCTCGTGGAAACTCTATGGTATTTCAATCCATTTTAAATAAAAGGGAAAATGTTGCTCTTGGTTTTACCTGAAAGGCTGAAATATTTTTGTGAAGGTAGTTTCTCTGCAAAGATTTCCTGGGAAAGATTAAGAATGCTAGAAATGTTTTGATGGGCAATGTTTTTGGCTCAAGGAATTGTTGCAACATCAAAGTCAAGTGAACAAGAAAGTTGTTTTTTGATATGGAAGCATTTAAAGTCATCAGTTGAGATGGAAAATATCATATTTTTCATTATCATTACCATACTAGTGTACCTGTTGCTCGAATTCGAGCAATTGCAAAGCATTACAGGCGACTCAAAGATTATGGAAATACTCACGATCTACACAACAGTTAGATATAATCAAAATCTTTTGTAAATATCTTATCTTTTTTCAAAAAGCTGATCTTGTTTTTTTTTAGTGTTTTTAGTGTAAAAAAACATTAATTCTATTTCTTCTACTTGGCTGTGTTCTATGACTTTTTCTATGTTTCAATTGTTTGCAAATCAGTTATTTCAATGATTGCTCAAGAAATGTAGCACAGTGTTAATTCAGTTTTATTTTTAGCCTATATCAAAATTGTCCAGGATTTCCATTGTAATAACTACACCAACCCAAGTTTCGTCTACAGATGCAATATGCCAAAGAATATCACCTACGTACAATCTCCAAGAAGTGGTAAAAACGGCAGAAACCAACCAATACAATAGATATAAGTTAACTCCATAAGAAATAATTTCTAAAGTGACTGTGATATAAGAATTTTCCACTGATTTGGTAATAGAACATTATATTGCAAAATATGACACGATGCAAAAGAAAATCAATTTTAAAATCAAAAAAATTCATTGCAAATACTGTACTTCATTTTGACAAATTCAATAAATCACAATTTAAATATTAACAGCTGTTGCATTAAAAAGTAGTGTAGAATAATGCATATGGTCGTAATGTAAACAAATCTGAAGAGGCAACTTTAAAGGCTTTTGGGGCAGAGCCCCAAGGGTATTTACCTCTTTACTATTTTGATGGCTCATCTACAGACCAAGACCTTTCTTTAGAGACCCCTACCAAGTTTCTACGCCCAGCCGTTCTTTCAAATTAGCTGTGACAAAAACCTCGTTTTCCTCCATAAGAATAACATGGGATGGGAATTTAAAGGCCACGGGGGCAGAGCCCCAAGGGAATTCACCATGTTTCTCTTTTGATGGCTCATCTACAGACCAAGACCTTTCTTTAGACACCCCTACCGAGTTTCTACGCCCAGCCGTTCTCTCAAATAGCTGTGACAAAGAAAAACAGTTTCAAATCAATATATAGATTAATTATTTTATTATCATATTTTAGGCAAATGTAATATTTTATAACTATAAATTATACTTCAAAGAGTAAACGTAATGTTGTCACACTATGGTTGGTTCTGTTAAGTGGTACAAAATATAGTATAGGAACTGTAAGATAATATAAAATACTAATAAATGCTGCAAGTAAAGAATGTGTTTATTATTCAACAAGAGTCATCATCACAACAACAACAAACTAAATTATAAAACATATGTTAAATGCAAAGGCATATGAATGACACTACATCTCCCCTTCCTCATTATATTTACTCATATCTTATTGGTGGTCTGATAGTTCTGCTCGATCTTCTTATTCCATCATTGTGGTTTGGCTGCACCCTCCTTCCACGGTAAACATCGTCAGAATCGTCATTCTCTTTTCTTGGTAGGGGAATGAGATGCCATCTGTTTCGTCTTACATCATTCCCATTACTCAATGATACTATGTAGGATCGAGGTAGATTGGTTGTTGTTCTTATGGTTCCTTTCGCACTAATATCTTTAACCCAGACTCTCTCTCCTACTGCTAAAGGTGGAAGTTCTTTGACGCCTCTTCTGTTGTCAAAGTTTTTCTTGACTCTGTCTCTTATTCTCTTGTCACAGTTTCGAAAGGATTCTATTTGATCTTTTCCAACCACTTGAAAGTCGTTGAGAGAAGGTAAAGTTGTTCTTAGTTTTCTACCATACAGCAGCTCTGCAGGTGATAACCCCGATTCCAATTTGGTGGTCCTGTAAGCTAATAGACCAAGATTGGGATCCGGACACTTTAGTAGAATCCTCTTGGCTATAGATACAGCGTTTTCAGCTTCTCCATTCGATTGAGGAAAGTGTGGACTACTAGTTACAGCTCTAAATCCGTACTCTTTTGCGAAACCTTTGAACTCGTCAGAAGTAAACTGAGTACCTCCATCTGTACGAATTTCTAGAGGGATCCCGTGTCGTGCAAAAATGTTTTTCATCCTTCCAATAACTGCCGCTGAAGTCAAAGTATTGAGTTCGATGAGCTCTAAAAATCGTGAGAAATAATCTTGTATTACCAAATACCAGTTTTGGTTACATTTCAAAATATCTGCACATAAATGGGTCCAAGGCTCTTGAGGAAGCTGTGTAGACATCAGAGGCTCCTTTCGCTGTAGTCTGTGTTCTATACATGTTGGACAATTTTCCACTGTAGTACTAATTTCTGTTGAACAGCCTGGCCACCAAACAGATTCTTGAGCACGCCGCCGACATTTCACTATACCCAAATGTCCCTCATGTAATCTTGATAAGATTTCTTTTCTCAAGGCCTTTGGAATGAACATCCTCCTTCCCTTAACAATTAATCCATCTTCCAAAGTGAGTTCATTGCGATACTTCCAGAATATCGAATTTTTCCGCCATGTATTCTCTTGGATGCATTTTAAGAGCTCCTGTCCTTCCGGGTCTTCATGTTGGGCATTCTTAATTTCCAACAGCCGTTTATCAGAACAAGGCAATGCATCAATTATGCTTCTTACAAACATTTCTTCCTCCAGATTCTCGATAACCTCATTCTCCCGATCCATTGGTGAAATTTCAGGGCTTCTTGATAGTAAATCTGCAGTTACATTTTCTTTCCCCGGGATGTGAACAACTTCGTAGTCAAAATTTTGTAATCTCATACGAAAACGTTGCAGCCGAGAAGAAAGATCAGAGATCGGCTTTGAACCCATTATCTCAGTCAGAGGCTTATGATCTGTGTAAAGCTGGAACCTTTTACCAAGAATAAAGCTAGAAAATCTTTCGCAAGCCCAAGTTAAGCCGAGAGCTTCTTTTTCAATGGTAGCATATCTTGACTCTGTTTCTGTTAATGTCCTCGATGCAAATGCTAATGGACGCCAATCCTTTCCATCAAACTGCTCGATCACTGCCCCTAAACCATAAGATGACGAATCTGCCATTACACGGGTTTTCGCTTCTCTGTTGTAGTTGGCCAATACAGTATCATTAGCTACGACCTTCTTCAATTCCTTAAAAGCTTGTTCTTGAGGCTCATCCCAAGTCCATTCAACTCCTTTTTTAAGGAGACTTCTGATTGGTGCTGTTTTTTCAGCTAGATGAGGAACGAACTTCATTAATTGGTTTATCATTCCCAAAAACTGTCGAACCTCCGTTATACTCTGGGGGCTTTTCATGGCCAGAATAGCTTTAGTCTTCTCTGGGTCAATACTGACTCCCTGCGATGAGACAACGTGTCCGAGGAAAATCACACTTTCTACTCCAAACTTACATTTGTTTTTGTTTAACGTGATACCATTTTCTGAGAGTCTCTTTAGTACCAGTTTGACTCTGCTGTCATGTTCTGCTTCTGTCTTCCCCATTATCAAGATATCATCCGCTTGATTCACTACGCCTGGGATATCTGAAAGCATTTGACTCAGTCGGAATTGGAAAACCTCCGGTCCAGAACAGATTCCAAACGGAAGTCTCTTGAAGAAATATCGCCCGAACGGTGTAATGAACGTGGTGAGTTTAAATGAATCACTGTGAAGTGGAACCTGCCAGAATCCATTGGCAGCATCCAACTTAGTGAAAAGCTTACCTCCTTCCAACTTAGCTAGAGACTCATCCACTGATGGAAGCTGCAACAATTCTCTTTTCACATGTTGGTTCAATTTTGTGTAATCAACACAGAGTCTAATTCTACCATCACTCCTTGGAACCACTACTACGGGAGAACACCAGTCAGTAGGTTCAGTTACTGGTTCTATTACACCATCAGCAAGCATCCTGTCCAATTCATATTTAACCTGTTTGTGGAGCGAGAAAGCCACCCTCCTCGGTGACATAACAGCATAAGGTTTTGCATCTTCGTGCAGCCTAATCTTGTATGGATGATTCATTCTACCCATGCCCTCAAACACTTTTGGATATTGACTCTGGAGTGATTCACCATCTACAAGATTAACGTTAAACGTAAGTAACTCCAGTTTCAACAATGCATTTCTACTCATTAGAGGTGTACTTTGGGACGGCAAGACATATATGTCTTCTAATATTTGCTTATTGCCATACATAATTTCAGCTGAACAGACACCCACAACAGTCAATTTAGTCTGGCCCGGCCCAAAAAGAACTTTATGGGTAGGACGGATTACAAGTTTGAGGTCAAGTGCAAGTGTACTTCCCATAACAGAAACGTCTGCCCCAGAGTCCATCTTAAACTCTACTGGTTGACTATTTACCTTTACCACTACACTCGGACATTCACCTTGCTTAAAGTTTACTTCACCTAAATGTCCTTTTTTTGAATCAATCAAATCGTCTGAGTCAACTTCCTTAATCTCTTTTACCTCCTTTGGTTTGTTTGGACAACATTTTGCAAAGTGACCACGAAATTTGCACTTGGAACACTTTTCTCCAAAAGCAGGACATTCCCGAGGGCCATGAGTTGTTCCACAGCGACGACAGGAAAATGTTTTAGTAGTTTGAGCCACACGTTTATTATTATCAAAAGGTTTTGAACTTACCCCAAATACATCTTCCCTGGATGGTTTATCTCTAATTACAGCTTGCTGTTTAGACATTGCTTCTGCTTGACGTACTCTCGTGATTGCCTTATGAAGGGTCAATGACTCGTCTAATTGTAGAGACTCTGATAAGTTTTGGTTATGAACACCAATAACAATTAA